ATATATATATATATATATATATATATATATATATATATATATATATATATATATATATATATATATATATATATATATATATATAATTATGATTGTGAAGACATTTCAAAACCTAACTAATTCCAAATATATTTATGACCAATTATTCTTTAATTTGTAAATCAATAATTTCTTAAAATGTCTACGCATTTATTTCTAATAAATTTTAAGAAATCAAAATAAATTAACAATAATCTTAATGATATATATATATATATATATTTAATTCATATTCTTAATATATCTTCTCATTCACAATCATACAATATATATTATTTTTCAAAATTTTGTCCAAATAATTTAATTTTAGTTTCTTTTTAATTATATATGATCCAATAACCATTATATTGTTTTATTAATTATTTTGCCAAATAAATATAAAATTTTAAATCATAAAATATCGTAGCCAGATTAGTGGAAATTAAAGCATCGCTTTATATCAAAGTGAGGTGTATTGAATTTTCAGTTAATATTATTGATAAATTATTGAGTTATTTTTTAATTATTCAATCCAACAATATTTAGAGAAATTAAGGTTAAAAACAAATGTTTGGGGCGTAACTTGTTGCAAATAATAGTTGAGGGGTGTAAGTGTTATAAATGATATTTGGAGGGGGCAAACTATAGCCATGTCATCAAGGATATTATAGTCATTGCACACCATTCTTTAGCAAAATCAGAATTTTAATATTTTTATATGAATTGAGGGGGGCATGTGTGACAATTGATACTTTAGGGGGGCATCTGTTACAGTGGCTATACTTCGAGGGTGGAATGTGTAATTAACCCAAAAAAAAATTGGGGGTGGGGGGGTGGGGGGGTGGGGTGGTGGTGGGGGGTGGGGGGCGTAGACCCCCTAATGGTGGGCAGCTTTCTTTTTTTGATTGCTTTTTTCCAAATTGTGAGTGGTGTCCAAAGGTTACGTTGAAAAGTATGTGAAAGTAGAATCTCGATCAAGACTTTTGTCTTTTTTTCACTCTCTTTAATGATGTTTAAAAAATGTACATATTTTGCTTTTTTTTTTAATAATAATTAAATAAATTTCGATGAGACGGTGAAGAGCTATGTAGCGGTAAAACTTCAATTTTTTTACGTTTTCACGTTTCGGATACGTTTTGTGTCGGACGCTCAAGGACACCCGAGTCCTGACGGATACCTTATGGGTCATTTTGCAATTTCTAAAAAGTTAAAAACATGGCTAAATAGCAAATTTTCAAATATTTTTGTTGTTTCCCTAATTATTTACACGATTTAATGATTAATTGCAAATTGATAGTTCATGGTAAAATTTGTTTTGAATATATTTGTATGAAAATATATAAAATGAATTTGTATATAAACAAAACTTATATATATTTATATAACATATTTATAAATATACCCCTATAATTTTAATATTTACACATCTACCCAAAACTCTCCCATTTTTTCGATATGACGTTTCTTCGTATCACCGTTTTCGTGTCCGCACTACATAGGTGAAGGGTGATATTTTTTAATGAACCCATTTTAGCGTGACTACCTTGTCCGATTAATTTAAAAAGAAACCATCTTTTTTCCTCATGTATATTGGAGCTTAGTGAATCATAAAGTCGATTGCAACGTTGGAGTAAAGTTTATGTCACTTTTGTTATATTTGTCTAAAGTGCAAATTACGGCGAACCACATGAGGTATGATCAAATTACAAAAAAAATCCTCTTGTTTAGGTAATTACAGCCACCCCTCATTTTAAATATTTTTACATAAAATTTATGCAATTCAGTTATTTACCAAACCTAACCGAACCAAATCGTATATTCAATTCGGTAAACGTTATGAAATGTTAGCGTACCGGAAATTTTATTTTAGTTTTACCGAGGAATATTTTCGTAAGATAATACCATAGTTGACGTGGGTGACTGGTAATTCCCCAAAACAAGAAGGGCGTATCGTAATTTAACCGTAAC